TTTTCTGTAGTCGTGCCTCCTGAAAATCAGGAAGGCTACAGAAGAGCTATGTTAACAAACTGCAAACAAGTCTGTTTGTCAATTTCCTGCTCTCTCCCTACATGGCCAGTAAATGTGAATGTACCTAGGAAACCCTGATTTTCCAGGTGTAATTTCATTGTGGGTGAATTCTTCTTCTTCTTTTTTTTGCTGTGTAATCACACACTCTCTTTCTTGCATTCTCTCTCATTCAGTCATTTACTCAGTCACACAACACACCCCTTTGCAATCACCCAAGGGAGTCATTTAATATCATCCATCCATCCAACATTTATATGCAGCAGGATTTCAGCAGAATGATGGAAAATGTAGATTTTCATCTCAGCCTGCTGCCATAAAGCTACTTTCACAAAGCTGTGATTTGAAACCGTAGTCTATCCATTTCAAAGACATTCTTCTACTGAACAGTGTGATATAATTTCAGCATAATTCCACAGGGCAGGAGAGTAGACACTAAGCTCTAAAACACTTTTCATGGTTGTCTCCGTGTGAAAGTAGCAAACAAAAGACAAGAGAAGATGGAACCAATACCTTCAGCTCTGCTTTGACAAGCATAACCCTGACTATTTCACACAGATAGAACCCATGCCTACAGAAAAAAAATCTTTAGGGAATAATGTATGAGTATTATGTGTGAGACCCATGTGAGACCCATGAAAGGAGAGGACACCTATAGGTACAACTGAAATCTTAAAATTGCAGTGTCACCTTCGGGACCAGGAAGAGCATGGCTTTAAAGCAGAACGTCCAGAATCACTCAGTCAACATGGCCAGTAGCTTTCAGGCTGGAAGATTCTGGGACTTTTTGTTACAAAAAAAAAAGTAACGTTTCCAAGCTCTGAGAGGCACAGTTTAACAAATAACAATTGTTTTAATTTCCTCTTTTAGACTGACTCTAACCACTACCTAGAGCATGTAAGTTACCTCACTCAGCTACCCCCCAATGTATCCAGTGGCTGCAAGATTCTGGAAACTGTCAACCAAGGAGCTAACTTTTCCAAGCAATCCTATGAAGGATAAAAATGGGATAAAAACTGTCCTCTTGCCAAGGTAAAAATCCTCACCTGAATCTTTCTTAGTGTTGCATTGACGGTCCCGTTCTCAGAAGGAAATTATTGCTACAATGACATCTGAAGTTGATGAAGACCCAATATAAACAGATTAAGTGGTTAGGATTTTCTACTGTCTGTAATTAAGAATACGGGTAATCTTTCCTGAAGGCAGGCATTCATCTAAGAACACAGTTGATGTGTCTGCCAAAAAGTTATATGAAACAATAAGTGTTGCTAGTTCAAAAAGGGGTGGGGGGGATAAGTAATATGAGTTAGTTTGTAGCTGATTAGACAGCACACCTTAGTTCCCCCCCCTCCACATTTATAGATTTTATCACCTTAGGACAAATTCAAAAACAGAAAACTTGAAAGATAAATGTTAGACCAGGGATGGGAAACAGGTGAATGAAAAGCTCATCTCAAGCTGGACTCCCACTTGCCCTGGGCAGTAAGGGGTGGTGTGAGTTGCATTCCAGCAACATGTGGAGGGCTGCATGTTCCCTTTCTTCCATTAGACAAATATAAATAATATGTATATATTAATATTAGTAAAAGAGTTCTTCCATATGATTGCATTGAAACCCCAGCTCTTTTGCATAGACACAGTCTGATCACTACTTTTTCCTCTTAATTCATTACATATTACTGTTACCATCTTCTAGCCATGCCAGTCAGTCAGTGCAGTGGAAAGATCTCTGATAAGGCATGAATATGCCAGTCAGCGCAGTGGAAAGATCTCTGATAAGGCATGAATCCAAGGGAAAAAAGAATAGGCTCACTTCAGAAATATACAGCATAATCTCAAGGAACTTCAATCCAGGGCTCACTTCAGAAATATACTGGACTACAGCATAATCCCAAGGAACTTCAGTCCAAAGCAGACAGAAACTGAAAAACTATGGTTTCAAATGAAGTGAGCTCTCTTTGAGGCCAATAGAACTGCCTCAGAGATTCAGAAGAATGCTTTTGGGTTTACATTTCCTGATCAATCTCTCCTAAGCTTGCAAAAAAAATGAGAAATTCCAGATAGAGAGAAGAGTTAAGAGGCAGAGAAGGAGGATAAAGTTCTGTTGAGTGACAGCTCTGATATCTAATCAGGGAATGACATTATCAGACCTCTTCTGCTGCTGCTATTGACAGGTAGGACACCGAAATAACTTATCAGATGTTGGCTGTTGCTGCTTTATGTGATTGTTGCTGCGGCTCAGGATTCTCCAAACGCTCTGAGGAAAGGTAGTAACTGGGAAACTATGTCCCCTTGTTGCCTTTCTAATGGGTGGGTGTTTGACTAACATTATCTTCCCAAACTAAGATGGCAGTGTGTTAGCCTGTTATATTAATCTATTTCAAGAACAAAACAAAATAAAACTATTGTGGCACCTTTCAGATTAACACATTTATTTCAGTTGAAGCTTGAGACACATTTCTTCACACTGGTCTCAAGAAGTGGAATGTACCCATGAAAGCTCACACAGAAATAAATGTTTTAGTCTTAAAAGTTCTGTAATTTTTTTTATTTTATTTTATGTTATTGTTTTTGTTCCATTTTTTTGTTCTGGCCGTCTCCCACAATTCTTGAGACATCTTGTTGCATAAATCCCAGCAGCAGTGGCACAGGGCCAGGAGAAAAAAAAACTCCTTGTGAGCTTTCCATAAGCCCAGCAGCAACACAGAGCGCAAACAAATGCCTTATGTGTCATACGGTACATGCCGTATGGCAAACTTCCCATATGTCACATGTGCTAAATGGCATTTTGGCTAGACCTCATGGGATGTGAGCCCTAGTCAGAATGGCAGCAACTGTTGCAACTGCAGGATGCATTTTGCTTTCTCCCTGGGATTTCTCCCCAAAATTGGGATTTACCTTTGAATACTTTGGAGGGATAGTCAGGTTAAGGGGTAGAGGGACAATGGGTAGCAGAGGTGCCCCCCTCTACAGCTAGTCTACTCGCTTTCATGATGTAGATGGTGGCCCCTATATTATGAACTGGTGCTAAGCATCATACTCTGTCCTCCCCTCCCTGTATTAGGCAACCAGGGAGAGAATGCTGGAGGAATTTGATTTGGCTCTGGGTTGCTCCAATACATAGTGAGCCAGGTTTCACCCATATTCTGGAACCATTTGTCCCAATTCCCATTGTGTCCATTTCCACAACCAGCTGGCCCAGGAGCAGTTCAAGCTTTCCTCCTAGCCGTTGCCTGCCATGACTCTCTGACATCACAAAGACCAGGCACTGACCTCAGGTTTTTGCCTTGAAATTTCAGTGAATGTTTTGTTACAGATCTGTGCGTGAAGTTCCTTTGACACCCCACAGTCTAAATCAAGTTCCTCCAGCATTCTCTCCCTGGTTGCCTAATACAGGGAGGGGAGGACAGAGTATGATGCTTAGCACCACCATCTACATCATGAAAACGAGTAGACTAGCTGTAGAGGGGGGGGCGCCTCTGCTGCCCCTTGTCCCTTAAACTGACTATCCCTCCAAAGCATGCAGAGTCAATTCCCCTACCCCTTAAACTGACCATCCCTCCAAAGCCTGCAGAGTCAATTCCCACTTTTGATACAAGAGGCTGAATGAAGATGACTTCCTACCTGAATGAAGAGGATTCCAAGAGGAACTGTTTTGTTTTGTTTTGTTTTGTGTTTTCACAACTCTAACGCCAACGACCCTTTCTGATGGTGCATGCATAGAGATGTTATAACATTTTACAGACTACAATTTAGACAAAGAAAGCACATTATATTTTAATATAAATAGAAAATGCATAGGAATTAAAAATAGAAAATGCATAGGAATATAAATAGAAAATGCATAGGAATTAAATGCCATGTGTGACTAAAGGCAAGTTTTTCTAGCACCAGGTTTTTGAATGAAAAGATACCTGTTCATATCTAAAAGATGACAGACGACAGTTTTGACTGGTATTTTTTAAACTGATTAAATATCAGTGTACCAATTTTGAAATTAGTATGAAAAGAAATACTTGAATAAGCATATGAGGAAGAACAAAGCATTGTAAAATGAGTTACTTACACTTTTGCTCCTGACATATAAAGTATTGTTGTTTGTGCTCATGATGCTGCAGTTGCTGATCTGCTATGGATTTTATATATGGATATTCCAGCTCTTGCCCATTCAGATTCCAGCTGATAGAAAGAAAATAGTCTGTTAATATTTTACAGACTCCACTATTATGCTGTACTATCTTGATCAGTGCATTTGCAGGAATTACAGAGAATCTCATACAAGTCTGCTTGGAAACTTCATTAACTTATTATCATTATTTGCATTTTTAAGATCTAAAAGTTCTGCAGTTGGTATATAGCTAGATAAAGAGAGACTGATAATAACAGTGAATGGAAACACAAAGGTATGCAACAATACCAAACCAGCACAATAAAAATTCAGTTGCAAATAAAAAAATATTGTAAAATGGGGTGGTGGGAGGGTTTAAAATGAGTGAAAAAGGAAAATAGGAGTTAGGACTTATTCCCAGTAAATTGATATAGGATCTCAGGGTAAACATCACATGTGGCATTGGTTAGACTAAAGTTGCTTAAACATTTATACATCTCTCCAGCCCTAGGAGTCCAGTGCCAGTTACAGCAAATACTTCCTTTTAAAGAAAAAAAGCAACAAGACTGTGCAAATATTTGTTTGCTTTGTACAAGTCAAAGCAAATGTCCATTTTATATCCATAGATTCCCATATTATATCATTGCTCTTCCTGTACAGTGGGAAATGTCATTCCTTTTCCAAGCATGCCAACAAGGCCTGGGATATTATTTTTAATAGGTAACTAATTACTCTCCCAAAATATATTATCAGTGTTACTTGTGACATGCCAGAAGACGAACATGTTATTACCACATGTATTTCAAGTTGCTTTTTTGTCTGTGTTGTTTGCAAAGAAATATGCTTAGAAAACAGGAAAGCACTTAGAAAAATGTCCCCAACAGTTCAAAACAATGTCTGCAGAAGTAAC